AGCAGCAGGCTTGCCAGGAAGAGGTCTGCTGTGCCATGTGGGTCACCTCCCTGGCCCAGGATTAAACTCCGCTGCCACAGGAAGCTGCTTATTGCTTCACTGTGTTTACTTGTTGCACCACAGGGAAGCCCCTTTTTGTGGCAGATTTCAAACGAAAACCTGAGGTGAATTTCGTTTTGCGGTCAATGGTGTTACCTAGATGAAAATGCTCTAAAATTGATTGCCTCTTAATAGATACATAAGTCACAACCCAAGAAAGAATTCTCATAAAATGATCAGAATTGGATCACTTTTGGATAATATTGCTGCCTGAGTTCTGGAAGGGCTAATAAAAGATTTTTTTTTCACAATCAAGCCAGAGTCCCTCATTTGTCTGTTTTGACTTTTTTTAAAAAAAACAGCTATTTATAATCTCAGTTTTTCCATTTCTGAAAAGCATTCATATTGTGTTTCCTTAACCCATAGTCTTGAGGGTCTTTCTGCCCCCAACCCCCATCCCACAGCCATCAAGTCCAGAAACCTGTTTCAGCTGCAGTGTTGTAACTTCAAAAGTGTATCCTTAAGTAGGCAGATATCCTTTGCACCTGTTCTTTCCACACACCACTTAAGCTACCACTTCAAAATTGCCAAACACCTATATAAATATTAAACAAAATGAGGCTGATACTTACATACTGGTAAGGGAAAATTTACAAGATACCTGGGAGGATGAAAATTTAAATTCAGAACAAATTGCACCTATTATAGAAGATCTCTATCAGTATATTAAGCTTACAATTTTTTGTGTGTGAAAATATCTAGAATTATCATCTTGCTCACCCAAGACATACAAATTAGGAGCTTATGTTGCATGTTGCAACCTCCTTGTATGTGATGTTTACCTATCAACATTTTAGCTTTTAGGTAGTATAAACATGCCCAGCTTTTTGTTTGTGGTTTTAAATGGGCTTGCTTTTTTGGTTAGAAAGGCCTTCATTCCAGTCATGGAATGTTTATAGGTTTTAAAAAGTTAAGAACATTCTTTTATTTTTGGTGAGCATCCATTTTAATTCCCCCCCTCATTATAGATGTCTCAGTATCATTAAAAAATAATTTGATACAAATCTTGCACCTTTTGGGGTTGTTCTTGAGGCCATTGCTAGGATTCTTTTTTCTTTCTATCATTGGAATATTTTTCATATTTCCCAACTGCTTGTTGTTTTTAATGTAGAAACCTAATTGATTGGTTAATTTGCTACCTTACCGAAGCTTTGAGTTTTATTTTATAGCTAGATTGCTTTTGAAAAAAGCAATCCTTCCAGTCCTTTTCAAGGTATACACAATTTATGGCATTTTGGGGCCTTTCCTATATGACTCTATTATTTTCTTAGGAATAATCTGAGACACTTTGATTATACGCAAATGTGTTATGTACCTTTGTTATTACTTACTGTGATGTGTATTTTAAATTACAGATAAGGGTTTTTTAAACATAAGCGTATCTTAAACTGAGTAAACAAGTTGGGAGAGTTTTACAATGCTGCTTTATATATCATTGATGTATACAACGATACAAAAATGTGTAGGAAATAAAATAAATCACAAGAGTTTTGAGAAATATTGGGTCCTGGACCAGATGAAGGTGAAAAGGGAGATACAACAGAAAATCCTCAAAGGTTGGACTAACAGAGTTTGACAAACGCATACCTTACGCCATGTACAGACAACTGTAATTATTATTTAATGTCTTCAGACCCAAATTTTTTTGTCAAAGAACTAGACCTGCCATTTCCAGTCTTTTTACAGGAATTTAACATCAGTCTAGTGATTTTTGACAGTACAAAATGTCTTTAAAATTGTTGACTGTATCCTGTCTCAAATAGACAAAAGTTTACAGAAATCTGGTCATTGAGAAGTACCTTATACACAGTATCTAGGAATTGGGATTCGAACATAAATACTGTTCATTACAATTCATAAATATTATATGAACACTGTATTTTTTTCTTACACTTTTGAAAAATGTGTATCAAAACAAAACCGATCCTGATGTTTGTGCTGAAAGTTAAGTTGGGGTGGAGGTGGGGAGAGGAGAGATATATTAAGCACTAGTTTTAGCTAGAAAGGTTTTTTTTTTTTAAGATTTTATTTATGCACATTGGAACTGGGGCTCAGGCCAGAGGTGCGGTGGCGGGTGGGGGGTGGGAGGTGGGAGGGTGGTAACAGTATTCACCAGAGACAGTGGAGAGCAGAACAGGCACATCCTCCGAAAAAACATTCCTGGAGGGAGCAGAGGCAAGACAGGAGAGAGCTGCCAGAAGGAAGGTCTGCGCCATGTGGGTCACCTCTCTGGCTGGGGATCTAATTTGTGCTGCAGGCTTCAGATCACTTCATTGTACTGCACTTTAACAAATCCTTGCACCACCAGGGACGCCCCAGCAAGGTTTTTATTATAATGAAGAATAAAATTTCCTAGTGGGCTTGAATTCTGATTTGAATTTATCCATTTTGTAAATACATAGAAACAAAGATTAATTCGTGAAACTTTGAAACTGTGTGATGAATTCGATTGTCAGTTAAAAATGACGACTAAGGCCCTCCCTGGTGGCGCAGCGGGTTAAAGCACAGCACTGAGAATCTAAAGCTGCTTCCTCATGAGTTCGATTCCCGCCTGCCCTGGAGGTGACCACATGGTGTGGCAGACCTCTCCTGACCCGCCCGCTGCTCCCCTCAGCAGTGTACTTCGTCGATCTGCCTGTTCTGCTCCCCACTCTGTCTCTGGTGAATCCTCTCACCCTCCACATCTCTGGCCTGTACCCCAGTTCTTTATGAATAAATAAATAAATCTTTAAAAAAAAATGACGACTAAGCTCTGATGACAAAGATATATTTTATTTTGATATTCATGACCTTGGAGCTGGGCAGTTCCTGAAATAATTCTTGGGAGTAGAAGTGGCCTAAAAGTATAGGATATTGACTTGCTGGTAACCTAACTTTGAAAGTACAGACCAAAATAATTGCCATAAGTGAATGTTCAGATGAACTATAAATAGAAAAACTGGCTTTATTTATAGCACAGTCAGATAATCAGAGCTTGAACTGGGGCAACTCTTACTTTTTAGCTTTGGCAGGAGAAAGAGGAGTAAAAATGTCTCTAGAATTTTAAGACAGGAGTTAACTATAGTAGCACCCTGGAAGTTTCAGGAAGGCTTTCTGGAGTTCTAGACCTCAACAGGATATTTGCATGAAATATCCCATTGTGCACTACTCATATAATAAGCAGATACTTGGGATTGAAGAGACATTAGGGCCAAATTACAAAATAATAAACTTGAATAGCAAAGGTGGGAGAAGGTCACTGAGAGATACTAAGGTTTATGAGTTACCTATATTCTGATTGATTGATCTACTATTAGAGAAGTGGACAGATTTTGTTTTCATTGCCATGTGTTATTTCTTTCCAAGACTTTTGTACATTTCCAGATTTTTAAGGTGATAGTTGTGATCTGCTTGTTCTTTGAGGTTCTACTGTTTGTAGTCTAACTTTGCTGATTTGCTTGTAATATCTGGCATACAGGAAGGAATTTAAATATTAATAATTGTTCGGCTTTGTATTTTAATGTTATTTTAATGTTATTTCATCTACTGTGTAAATTTCACTGAATTTTTTTTTTAAGATCTATTTATGCATAGAGAACTGGGGTACAGGCCAGAGTTGCAAGGGTGGTGAGAGGATTGATTCACCAGAGACACAGTGGGGAGCAGAAAAGGCAGATCTACTGAAGTACATTGCAAAGGGGAGCATCAAGGGAGACAGGAGAGGTCTGCCACACCATGTGTGTCAGTGTCAGCACCCTGGCAACCCCTTGCAGTGGCTGCTGAGAGCTTCATAAAGTACTGCTACTTAATCCATTGTGCCACCAGGGTGGGCCGTTTTCTTTTTATTCTTCTGGATTTATGCCAGAAACTTCCTTTTAAGGATTGTTTCAGGAGACTTGTGAGGGAGATGAAATAAACAGATGTATTCATTTCGGCTGTGTGTTAACCAGGCACTGAAAGTATGTTTATTTGCTAGTTTTAGTGTAGATCCTGGAGTCCAATGTCATAAACAGACGTCATGTTGTAATAAAGTATGTGCTTATTACCTAGTGGTTAGGTTCCAAGTGCATTGCAAGCATTTGTGTGAGGTTGATAATTTTGCAGTTACGATTGATAGTAAAATACATTATCATTTAATATTAGTTTGTAATCATGCAAGTGCCAAGGACTGCTTGCCTGCCCCAGGTCATATAGTGGTAGAGCAAGACTTTGAACAGTTACTCTACAGCCAGATCTTTCCTTCAGTGTGTCAGATCTTTTTCAGTTGCACTAATCAAATGAGCAAAAAGACCGATTTCAAAATTAATTTTAAGGCTAGAAAAGGACTAGTAATTTTTTTTCCGATTGTCTTTTATGTTCATTCAGAATGGTTTTGAGGCAGTTTGTTCTCCATAACCTATTTTATGTTAAGTGGAGGAAGAGAAGTTAGTAGGGAAAATAAGGTTAAATTAATGGCAAGACTCGTTTTCAAAATCAGCCAGTGCCATTTACTTTTTATTACTAACATTTGTAATAAGAGTTCTTATCCTGTGTTAGCTACTTAAATTTTTGTAATTCTATGAGTTATGATGAGCCCAGTTAGGTTAAAGTTGTACTCAAGAATGTTTAATAGGGCCTGGCATGTAAATATACTGCCTTACTCAAGTTTTAGTGTTTACTAGTTAGTATCTTTGATGTTTCAGGGATTTGTGTTGATTTTCTTCATTCTTAGGTGATGATACTGTGTGGGAAAAAAGGTTGATCAAGGTTAAGTATCTTACAAGGTCATACATCTTAAATGATGGCAATTGAAACCAACTACAGATCTGCCTAAGTATAAGTTCTCTGTTATTTTCAGCATTCCACATTGTTTTTGCATTTCTTATAGGCTTTTAGAGTTAATGTTCCCTTCAATTGAATGCTGATTTTTTTTTTTTTTGCAGGGATTTATCAAAGATGTTCATGAAGATTCCCTCACAGTTGTTTTTGAAAACAAGTAAGTTGTTTGTTGATGAGGCTTTTAATTTTAAAGACTAGTGGTACAAATTATTTGCTTTTAGGTGTTCTTATGTGGAGTGAAAAATGATTTTGTTTTGGGTGGGTGTATTTGGTTTTTTGATCATGTATGGATTCAGAATATTCTAGCTTTGATAATTTCTCTACTTTTTATTTTCCCTACAGTTTATTCCTCACTTATTTTTTGACTGTTTTCGTTGCCAAACCACATGTGAAAATTGAGTATGTAGCTTTGCAGAAGTAGGTAGGGTAAATAAAATTATAATATGCTTACTTTTTTAATAGCTTCTTGAGACTCATTAATAAGGCACAGAGCTTTTTGGAAAAGACATATCCAAAATAATGTAGTGAATTTTCAGAAAATATTCCATTGAATGTAAATATTGATTCATTCATTTTAATGCCTTTTTAACCTACTTAAATTTTCTTCTGTGTATAAACCTGTTTCACATGTTACTTTTGCTTTTATTCCTATTCCATATTTTTTCAGAAATACCTTTATCATTGATGTCATGAAATGCTACAATGTTTTCTTTATATGTATTGTTGCTTATTATAGTATCTTATGTCTTACACCTAAATCTTTAATCTGTTTTGAAAATTAATTTTTGTGAATATGCTTAACTTTCAAACCCTCAAATGTTGAAAGGATGTTGTACAAGATCTTCCAGGTGTCAGGTAATAGTCAGAATAACTATGGTATCTTTAATTGCTTGATATTAATAATAATTAATGTTAACTTTTTATTTTTAAAGATTTAATTTATTTGCACATACAGAACTGTGGTACAGGCCAAAGGTGCAGGGGCGGTGAGAGGATTCACCAGAGATAGAGTGGGTAGCAGAACAGGCATATAACGAAGTACACTGCTGAGGGGAGCAGCGGGTGGGTCAGGAGAGGTCTGCGGTGCCATGTGGATCACCTCCGGGGCAGGTCGGGATCGAACTCACGCGGAAATGGCTTTAGCTTCTTGGTGCTGTGCTTTAATCCACTGAGCCACCAGGCAGGGCCCCTAATTTTAACTTTTAAAAGAGATTATTTTATGACTACAAGAACGGGTAAAGGCCAGCGGTGGGAGGGGTAAGAGAATTCACCAGAGACAGAGTGGTAAGCAGAACATGCAGAATGACTGAAATACACTGCTGAGGGGAGCAGTAGACAGGAGAGGAAGGGTCTGTTGTTCCATTTGGGTTACCTTCCTGGCTGGAATCTTAACTCCTGCTGTAGACTTCCGATTGTTCATTGTGTTATGCTTCTGGAACTGCCTAGAAAAATAAATCCCAAAATCTGGCTGACAGGCAAGTAAATGTTGAGGTGATTTCTGTCTTTGAGGAGCTGTCATTTAGGCAGTAATGTTGACAACAAAGAAACCAGAAATTTTTTACTTGTCTGCTGCTTTGGTAGATAAAAGCTATAGGGAACATTTTATGTGCTGCTGGTGTACCTTCCAGGCATTCGAATTAGCTGTTAAGACTTACAGAGTAGGGCCCTCCCTAGTGGTACAGTAGGTTAAAGTGCAGCAGTGCAAGCTAGCTGCAGTTTCTTTGTGTGAGTTTAGATCCCCAGCCCTGGAGGTGATCCATAGGGCGCAGCAGACCTCTCTCGACCCACCCGCTGCTCCATTCTGCAGTGTACTTCCTCCATCTGCCTGTTCTGCTCCCCACTTTGTCTCTGGTGAATCCTCTCACTGTCCCTACACCTCTGGGTGTACCCCAGTTCTGTATGCATAAATAAATCTAAAAAAAAAAAAGACTTAAAGAGTAGTGAAGAATTTTATAAAATGTCAACTCAGCTTTTTAAAAATATTAAGAAATGCATTAAACAGCTAATTTACGCCTAATGATATTTGCTGCAAGTATTAACAGTAAACATTTCCTAGGTTTTAATTTTGTTCACTGTAGAAAAGATAAATGTTTGGTGCTTGTAAACATATATATTGAAAAATAACTATAATGTTATAGTCTAAAATAGAAAGAAATTGTATTTCTAAAATAGAAATTGTATTCCTGTGGATAGGTGGTATATCTATAAAAATTTTTAAATAACTTGATTTTCATTATTGTTTATTGGCAGCAGTATAGTTGTAATATTACTTTGCATTTAAGTTATTACTATAAACTTAACCCATTGTATTTGCAGAATAATGTGTATACTGTTCCCTTGGGATTAATAATTTGAATATAGTTATTGCTATTAATTACTAATAAACAAAAGTCACACAAAATCTGTTCTACAACAAACTACTTGGGAAAATACTATACTAAGTTGTACTTAGCATTTAGGAAATGCTAAATGACAAGTTAACTGAAAAACGTATATTACCAAACTTACACATTAGGACTGTTAACAATACTATGTTTTAATATATAATTCCTTTTCTAATCCTTTAGTTGGCAGCCAGAACGCCAGGTTCCATTTAATGAAGTTAGGTTACCACCACCACCTGATATAAAAAAAGAAATTAGTGAAGGAGATGAAGTAGAGGTATGTATATGTAAGTTTGTTTGCCTGCCTGTTTGTTTTAAATATTTTTGTAGGAGAATTTGATTGAGAATTGAGAATAAATCTAACGCAGTTGATTGAGAATAAATCTAACGCATTTCCTCTATTTCTACTGGTAATGACTGTAACATTGCGGTGTTTGGGTTTCAGAGTTAGCACGGGGATTCATGTCTTAGTCCTGCCATTTTTAACTTTTGTGGCCTTAGCAAGTTCATGACTCAGTGAAGATTAAGGTTAAGGATGATAGTGCATCTGAAAGACTTTGCAAGAATATAGTGCACAGAGAACTGGATGGTGTTGGATGCTATTTTCCTTATTTTTGGTAATTTACTTAAAATTTGTTTTTGTATTGTAAAATATTGATGGTAATGCTTTCATATCATGATAATACATTTTACATGAGGATTACCTCATGAAATTTTATAATTAGTGTACTTCTTTGTTGAGTATTCTAGAAATGTCTGGAATAATTTAATACCATAGAAAAAATTTTAAAATGACTTGCTAGAGATTTTAAAAAAAAACCTCTTTCCTTGATTTACATATCACTCATTCCCAGGATTATGATGTCTCCCTTCCCACCCCTATTTAAAATAATAGAATTATTTTGTAATGTTTCTTTATATTTTGCTTTTTGCACACTTAGGTATTAGGTTCCTGTTTGTTTTTATACACTACTGCTGATTGATAGGTCTGCTATTATGTACAGAATAACCAGGAAATGTCAAATAGAGGTGTAATGAGTTTGTTGAAGATAGAAATCTTACTGATTTTTAAGAAATTGATAAAACACCTCTGAGGTGCTCATGTTTCTCAGAAGGAATTGACTTGATAGTGTTGATTTTCATATCTCACTTTTACCTGGTTTATATAGGGTAGGATGGGGAACTAGGGACAAAGGCGTACCTCTACGATGAGCTAGTTACCTAAATGCTTTTATACAATCTTAGCACTAGACACGGGTCTTAACACTTTACAGATGGATTATTTTATTCTTAGTAATTTTTAAATGGTAACTTTTGCATTAATGTGGATGTTGAGCTAGGAAACAGAAAATTGAGCTGCTTTAAATTTCTGAAAAATTGAACGCATTTCTGTTCTAAAATTCTGTCTAGAATTTGCTTGTTATTTACGTTGTACTTGCTGAGTTTGATAACATGCCATGAATAATCTTGTCATGAGTAATCTTGGCTATATGTATTGAGGAGTGGGCTCACTCCTCAATACATAAAGACTTCATATTTCTCAGTATTCTTTTACAATTGGTTCACCAAAATTTGAACTAAACTTTTAAAATTAATTTTATCACTTTACCATTCATTTATAAAACTGTGTCATACCAGAAATACATCTTCACACCTGTGACATGCATGTGCTTTACTCACAAACAGAGTAGTAACAAAGCTCCCTTGTTACTACTATGTTAGTTTCATACTTCTCCCATTTTCTCCACTTCTTTCACCCTGGATTTCCCTGATTCTGAGTGCAGGGTACTTGGTGGGGCACAATGAATATAGCAGTAGTGCTTCTGATTCTTTCTGTAACCTTGTTAAATTATACTTTACAGTCTGGTAAAAGACTGTAAATATTTCTCAATATTGCAGTCTGGTAAAAGACTGTAAATATTTCTCAATATTGCATCTTTTCCTGATGATCATCTTTCTGTGAAGATGGATAAAAGAACTTAGTTTGTCTTTCAAAGTTTATCAATTTTAGCATGCTGGTGATTAGTCTGGTCAGTGAAGTTACCAACTTGGTTTTGGAAATACTCAAGAATTAGAGAATTATCTATCAATTCTGAGAATAGTTTTGTTCATACTTTTTGTTAAGATACTTGGTAGTTTCAAGGTTCAGATTAAAGGAAAAAATTGGTGAAGTGCTGTGGTCATTGTTAGAGTGTGCTTTCTGCAGTTCCAATTTAAGGATGTCCTGTCCAGTAATTTCTGGATGATCTATCTACCCCATCTTCCAAATATGTATAAAACATTGGGGCCAGAGGTTGGATAATTTGAAAATTATTTACTGCAGATTGTTATATTTAACTTTGTGTTGCATCGTTAATTCCTGGTGAAATTTTCTCCGTATAGTTGCTAGAATCATCTGAAATCAAGACGTCATTTTTTACACTGTTGGAAATGCATAGAAGGAGGAAGTTTAAAATTAATCTTCCCGCTCACAGAATCATTTTTGGAGGATGGGGTGCAGATGTTACAATTCTTTAGTTAGAAATCTATCCATGTAACCTGGAATGTGTAGAAAATAATAGTATACTGTTTATATATTTTGAAGCAGCTTCTTATTCTTAATCTGTAAAATTTTGTATATCCGATAAGAGAAAGTTAATGTTTTAAGAAAAATTCATGCCCTTGATCACTAGTGATAACAGCATCTTAAAAGTCTATTTATTGGATGCCTTGTAATTTTTTTGATAGTTTTTTAATATAAGTTTATTTTTACATCATTTTGTGTATTTTTGATACATATAGTTTTTGTAGTAAATCTTTGCATCTTATCTGTTACATAATGTGTTTTCTCCCTAATTTTAGAAAAACTGTTAAATGGCTTTTGCTACTGAGAAGTCATATTTTTATTCAGATCTGTCAGGTTTTTGATGTGACCTCCAAGACAACTCAAGTGTTTTTTATATAGATGTAAATTTAAATTAAAATAATTTTTTAAATAGTAACTGAACTGAAAGCAAAAATAGAAGCAGAACTTTTGAAAGAACCATTTCTTCTTGCTCCCTCTTAATACTTTTCCTACAACTTGACTGACCTATCATTGGTCATTGAGTGGTAAGAGCAGGCTATCTTGATTGACGACCATTTTACTTAAGTCCGTTTCTTGTGGATATGAAGTGATTGTACTTAAGAATTTTTTACAAAAGACTTAAGTCTTTGAGATTTTCAGTTTTCTTTTTGCTGTTAATTTGTAGTAATAGCAGTCAGTTCAAATGATGACAAAATTTTCTGAAATCCATCATCAGTGTGTTTCAGGATGATCACATTGCATTAGGTCAGTTCCATGGTTTTATGAACTTACTCATTTTTTCCATGCACTCAGGTCTACATATGAAAGGCTAGACTTTTTTTGAGAGCTTAGAACAGTGGCATGTTTTTTAAGAAAAGTTCTAGTGTATTAAGTCATTTGTCATTGTTTCTGCTAGTCACAAATCTATAATAGTAATAACAAGTTTAAACTGTTATCTCATTTTAACATAACAGTTCCCTGAAGACCTGTCTAAAATCTTTCCAGTGTTCTATAACCTAAAAATTAGGAAATATATAACCATTTTTAACACTGAATGCTAATCTCTACTATATCTTGCTGTATTCACTGGATGTTAAGTTTTAATACTCAGAACCCCTGTTCTTTGGTGTTAGGAACCCTTCCTCTCTATGAAGAAGGGAATTACTTAAACTTCTCACAAAAGATTCAGGAGAGAGCTTTCTATTGAACTCTTTAGGCAATTATTTAAAGATCAAGCTTAGGACATTTTCATTCTTGAAGGTCAGGAATGACTGAATGCTGACAGTTCATATGGTTTACTCTAAATTTTTTTTTTTATTTTATTAAAAAGTTTATTTTTACATCATTTTGCACATTTTTTTTTTCATCTCAATTGTAATCCCCACGGGTTTCCCATCACCAAATCACCCCTGTGCCACCACCATAGTCCCGTGCAGTTCCCCACTCCACCCCCACAGAATGTCTCTGGTCTATGGTTGTTCATTATTTTTGTTATTTTCTCGCCTGGTCCATTATACTCCTGCTATGAGTGAAACCATCCGGTACTCTAAATTTTTACTATAAAAATGTTCAGCTACTTGAGGTTTATGTTTTAGTTTAGCTTATGAGACTTCCTATGAAGTTAAAAGACATAAATTAGTGTTACAGTTTAAGTGTGGCTTCTAGAAAAGACACTGATTTTTGTGGGATAGCGAAAATTAGTCACTTCAGAAGAAATCTGTGCAACAGGTTTGTTGGAGACCAGCTCCAATTATTGAGGTGTCTGGAGGCAAGACAGGCAGGACCCTAAGGTGGGAAGGCGTCAACGAGCAGAGATTCCTAAAAGGGGGAGAAGGAGCAAAAGGGGAAAGGGGGGGGCGAGGAAGTTGGAGTTGGGTGCAAGTCTTCCTGCTCTGCCTTCAGCAGAGGTTTATTTTATACATTAGGAGCAAGTAGTGGGGTGACATCAGCACAGGAACTGGCTGAGAGATTACAATCATCTTTTTTTTTCTAAGAACTGTTTAAGGTCGTATTGCCTTTTAGCTGAGATACAACTTTCTAAAATCAGTCAAGGTTAAAAACAGGTACATAAGTGCACAAAGTTTATGACTAATATTACTGTAGTGGAGATCAGCTAAGATAGAAGTCCCTTAAACCTTATCTACTACTTAATGGGTTTTTGTTTTTCTACCTGAGTCATCCTAGGAGGCAGAAGAGGAAATTCCTTGTTAATCAAATCTCTGAAAAGGAGACATAGGTGAATTTCCTTATCTGAAGACTACATAGTAGAATCCTGAAAGACTAGCCAGAAGACTTTTGTGGACTCCTTTAAGGTGTAGCAGGTAGAAAACTAGTTTAAAACAGACAACCTGGATGAATTTCCACATCTAAAGGCCAAACAATAGGAAGTTTGAGTAATTCTTTAGAAGCTAAATAGAAGGCTAGGTGAGATAATAGAATGATAAAATTTGGTTTATCCTTCATCCAGCAGTGAGAGAGACTTTGCAAAAACAGCCCTTTTGCTTTTACTTATCAGTCAGTAGTCTAGTCACTTGACTTCAGGGGAATTTTTCACCCTGGTGCAGTGCTTGCGTGTCAGGGCAGGCAGGCATTATGCTGCTGAGGCAATCCAATTGTAAGCTGAAACTTGCTCAGAATATTTTGATATTACAATTATACAAAAAGGGGAGGTCATAACATAAGTTAGCGTGGAAAGTCTGATTTTTCAGAGCAATTCCCTCCATCCGTAACGT